TCAGATTTTCTAACCATAAAAAGCCTTTCATTATGGAAATTTTTTAATTATTCAAGTTAATGCTGAGACAACTCAGCAACGTAAATCGATAGCATGTCACAGTCTCAAGAGGAGAGTTAGTCATTTCGGGCCAATCCTTGCCATTTGGCTGGTTGAGATTCAGTGTCTTAGAGCACACATGCTGCTTGCTTTCCCATCATTAAGACTGATATAATAACACTCTCGCTAATGTTTTTGACAAATTTCCCTTCAATAACCGTTCCCTAAAACTAAGATGCAAACTTAAACATGGAAATAACTTATCAGACCCACCAGCATTTTCAATAATTGCTAAACACACTGGCAGTTACAATGTATGGAGAATTTATCTATATTTACTTACTGGGGAGAAATTTGAAAACATTATGTGTCTGTGGCTGGCATCCAGCTTTTCTTGTGTGCCCTGAGAGTGCACACAGGAAAGTCTGCGCAGTTTCTTCTGCATTCTAGGGAAAGGCCTCTCTTGCCTTTATTTGCATGCTTAAGTTCCCAAAGGTGGCACCACAGAGTTGTTCCTGAACATTACCCTCAGCAGCAAATTCTGCTTACAAACACTAGGCCCAAATCACCCTCCCCAAGAAAAAACATAAATTAAGGGACCAATGAAAATAAGACATGAAACAGAAATCTGAGGTGTTCAAATGTGAATTTATATTATCATGCAACCCAATAGTACAAGAACATATGGCTGCTAGATTAACAAAAAAAATCACATTGTTTTTTCCCTCATTGCATGTTTCTGCCTTGCAGACCTCATCAAGATCTGTTTGTTGTTTTTTCAAGGGCAAAACATATTTAGGTGTCATACCCATAGGCACCGTGTCATGCTGTGAGGTGCACCAAGGCCTTCTGTGCTCTGTGCTGAACCAGCCCCCACCACACAGACAATCCTTGCCTCCTCTGAGCCCCTAAAGTTTGTCAGCCTGTCTCTAGGACCCCGAAGAGGACATAGTGCTGAATGAGGCCTGATGGGTGCTAAGCAGAGGGGAACACCCTTGAGCCTTCTGTCTAGAGGAGAAAGATAGGAAAAGACCTGTCAGAGCAAGCTCCCTGTGTGGCACTGGGCCTGGCAGTGCTGGGGTCCCAGGCTGCTCCTTGCCAGGCCTACAAGCACTGCCTGAGCACACAGGAGAGAGCTTGTTCTACAAACTTTCTGCTCCCTTCTCCTCCATCCCTTCTCCTCCTCCTTTATCATCTACTACTTCATCTTCCTGCTGTTCTCCTCCTCTGCTTCTTCTTCACTTTCTTCTGTAATAGTAGTTTAAATTTCTTTCCCCTCTGGGCTATGGGGAGGCTCCACACTGGGCCCCTGTCAGGGAAGCTCCTTATCAACTCTCCTGTTCTTCCCATAGGCTTTGTAGCCACCAACATGGATGGAGCCTGGGCTGGCACCTGGAGGCCTCATCATCCATGACAGAGTTCAGCACCCTGAGATTCAAGTACATAATCCCTGAGATGACAAGTAAACCAAGAATCACAGGGGCAGGACTTGGGGCTGGAAAGGGTCACAGCGCAGCTGTTGCTTCCCTAGAAATTTCGCACATTGCAAAGGGCCAAATGTCTCATCGCAGACAGCTGCTCTGCAGGTCCCCAGTACTACATCCATCCCTGCATCACCAAGAATAGGACGGATGTGGATCCAGCTCTAAACATCTGCAGATGTCCCAAGATCAAGACCAATGTCACCCCTGGACCAAGTGAGTACCAATTCTCCAGCCTTTCTTCCAGGCAAGAGAAGCACACCTTACTGTTGGGGGTACAAAACCTGTCCAAACCAACAAATGCTGTCCACTGCTGCCTCAACATTGTTCCCATAGAGCAGTGTCATCGACCTCATCTGTGAGTGCAGGTAGGACATGGGGACACACAAGAGTGTGGCTTAGTGTATAGGACAGGGGATCACATATTAAGAGGACATCTTTTAAGTTCTGTTATATATCTGGGTACAGATATATACCTTATGCATCATCAGTGCACATACATGGGGACAGTCAAGGATATCCCCCTCCCCCACCCCATGATGTTCAGTTTGCCTACTGTCTGGGGGAATTGAGTACTTGGGTCCCAAGCTGATGAACTGTTCCATGATGGGGATGTGTGAGCAGCGAGACATGCACAGACACAGCACAGTCCTTTCTAGTCCAGTGGTGCCCAAGGACACAGGTTGTTTGAAATCGGTTGAGTATGATCTGCAATGTGCAATTTCTGTTCAGGGAACTTTTAAAGCCTTTTATGCACTTATGGTTTTGTTAACACTAGGTAATAAAACCACACAAAATCAGACAAAAAGCCCACCATAAATGCAGATGACTGGGCAGATGTGAACTGCAATATATTGCAATATGCCAAACACAGAGAAGCTCTCACCCCCTCTGGGTTGTGTGGCTCCCACTCTTTCACCCAGGACATCTCTTGTACTATGTGTGATGCAGGAATTTCATATATATGGACCACAGTAAGATTACCTGTGTCAATCCATTTATTAAATACTAGTAAAGCAAAATTTCTTTTGTAGATTAAAAAAACAAGTTCTAACGTTTTCCTGTACCACAAAGGACTGAACATCCAGTATGTTAACCCAAGCTTCATTTCCCTCTGTGTGAGGCATTAGATTATATCATTGGGTCAGAACCAGCTTGGGGATGTGTGCGTGTGGAGGGGGGAGGGGTTGGGTGGAACCTCATGGAGGTGACATGGGACCCTATCCCTCATAGCAGGCCCCTGGAGCACACATAGAGAAACCCCGGAGCAGCTGCCAGTCAAAGGCAGCCTGGGAAAGCTTCAACACACCACACCTCCTGGAGCCCCTAACCCAGTCTCAGATTGTCAGAGACAGTGAGAACATTGCCCCTCACCCTGGCCTGGAGCCCCAGAATGGCCAATGGGCTGGAGGTCCCACCTGGGCCAGGGGGTGACCATAAGGACCAGAGCGGATAAAACCAAAGGCATATGCTCTCCATGGAGTCATGGCCCTGCCATCTAGACATGTGAGAGCTGGACTTCCACAAGGATCCAGTGGTAGCTGTATTATAATCTTTCTCTCTCTCTTCTCTCCTTGATTTTTCTTCTCTTTTTTGCTCCTTGATGTTTTGGATGTCTTAAAGTTAGTGGGATTAGATCCTGCTAAATTGTGAGGGTTGTGATGCGCTGGGTCAGTACTTTGGTGGAATGCTTTGTTTGATTGTATGCTACCCTTTTAAACTTTTGCCAAGTTCTCTTATTTTCTCCTCTAAATTATCAGTAAAGGCACTTCTTGAGAAAAAGTGTGTGGCTTATTCTCTTTACACTATCTCAAGGTATTAAAGAACCCTGTATATTTTTAAAAGTAAAACTCGCAGATGAGCTTGCAGTTCTGGGGCTGGGGTGCTACATTCTGTCCCTCCTTTGCAATAGCAGCTTTTATTGTTTCTTATTATTCTAACTTTTTTTTGCTCTGCTCCTTTCAATTCACCTAGATCTTGATATAATTTTAGTTAAAATACTTCCATTAACCACAGGCATTTCAACTCAAAGACAAGGGCACCTGAGAAAGAAAACCTCTGCTCTGGGTTTCACTGTGAGGAGACACCGGCAGTAAAGGTCTTCCAAGGCCCATCCTCAGCAGGAGGGCAGAAGTGGAAAACAATGTGGAAAAACTCATCAATGGAGATAACGATGCGTGAAATGGGGAAAATTAGTGTAATTTACTGCTATTTATTCAGATAGTGAGAAAATAAAAAAACTACCTGCTGCCCACTCTCCTTTCCCCATGGGAGTTGCACCCCACCACTGGCAGCTCCTGCCTGGAGCCATGCTCAGGCGCTGCCTGGGTCCACTCTATCATGGGTTCCATTGTCACAGCTCCCTGAAAGATTACGTCCCTGCTCCAGCAGTGCCCTCCAAGAGCTACGGGGGATGTCCGTTCACTGAGGACAGTGGGGATTGAGTATCGCGATCCTGGGAACTTTGCTTATTGCCTCCTGCTGTCACACCCACCCTTCCGTCAGATTAATGGGCACCCCAACACTGCCGGCACCATCTTCGGACTAACCATTCAGTTGTTTGTGGAGAAGCCATATTGCCTAAGGGGCTCTGCTGTGGCTGGGCATGGGGCTGCCATGGAACTGGCTGAGTGCAGCATGGGGCAGCCCCACATTCTCCACACAGAGACCTGCTTGTGTCCCCATGCACAGATACCCAGTACAGCCCTTTCTAGTCAAGCGGTGCCTGAGGACAGGTGAAATGATCTGAGTCTGGAATGAACTGCTGACTGTGGAGGTGGGAGAGGCTCCTGCCTCGGAGGGCCTATGAGAACTGCCCACTCCAATTCCCACCCCTTTGCCTAGAAACCAGGAGAGAATCATTTTGTTATCACCACTTAGCCAGAAGGAAAGAACAGCTCCCTAGAGATGCAGTAGAATCCCATCGCTGGGGGCAATCAAGTTGCAGTTGGCTGGGTGCTAGATATTCTCCTCCAGGATGCCTTTCTCACACAAGGGCTGGATGGACCTTCAAAGGTCCCTTGCCATCTGGGCTTTTGCATTTTCAGACTGAGTGTAATGATTCTTTCTCCGTAACTGTTGGTGTTCCGATGACTTGCCTGTGGAGGCCCTGCCCGTGTCAAGAGGTGATACAGAGCAGCTGTGTTTCTGGGTGCACCCTGGTGCGCAGATGCCACCCATGTGCACTGTAAAGGAGGTTGCTGAGAAGGGCTGTGCCCTTGAGGGCCAACCTACGCCTGTGGGATGTTTAGCCATAGGATGAAAGCGTGCAAGGTGGCACTGGAATGCTTTCACAGCACAGAGCTTTGCTCCAGTCAGGTGAAACAGTGCTGTTGGAGATGTTGGTCTTGCTCACTCTTGTTACCTCACTGCTCTCCCCTTGCCGTGTTTTGGCTGAGGCGTAGACATGAAATGGAGAGAACCAATGGTCTCCACCCATGCACACCTACCCATCTCTGCAGCAGAGGGTAAACATAAAAGATCTTTGGAGGTATCTGGTTTTATTCAGGAGGCATCCGAGGTAATAAAGCAGCTTTGTAGAGGGAATGACGAAGTCCGAAAGTGTAAGCAGGTTCTCGGGGCTTGATCAGAGTCACCTGGAAGGGGAAAGTGGGAAGAAATAAGTGTGACGGTGATGCCTTGTTCTCCAGACTTATCCTCAAGTGAAGGCCAACCAGCATAACACATTTGTGGACATGTTGCCTTACTTTTCCCACGCTGTAGTCTGCTGGCCCTGGACGCAGGGTCTTGTCAGTAAGTTTAGTTTTTAGTCCCATTGTGTACTTGGGAGCCCTCTTTTTGTAGACATCCAGTTCCACCTTGGGGAATGCCGCAGGACCTGGCGTCTGTAAGAGAAGCAGGGAGGTTGGTGGGTAGAAAAAACAGTGTTGATTTTTGCCGAGCCCCCACGTGGGCTGCACTGCTCTAGGTGGCTGGATAGAGAAGTGGCGTGGGAGGTATAGAACCTTGGAAAGGAGAGCACCTCCTGTTCTCCTGCAGAGAGACAGATTTCCCAGAGGAGAAGGGAGATTGCTGTTAGTGCCAATGAGCTTGTGCCCCACCAAAGTTGTTAGTGTTGGAAAGTGAGGGGCTGCAGGTGTCAGTGTTGCTGGTAAGAGCAGAGAGCCCGGGGCCCCATGGCTTCTCAGGCTTTGCTGCAGGTGCAGGGAAGAGTGTGTTACATGGGGCTGCAGCAGCCACTGGAGCCCTGTTGCCCTGAAGAGGGCAGCTGAGCTTCCTCTGCTGCTGCAAGAGAGTAGAGAAGCACAGCTCACCTTAGCCAGGTCTTGAAAACAGCTGTTGTACATACTCTTGAATCTCATGGAGTAGCATGGGCTGGCATGAGTGTAGACTGTGTTGGGTCCCAGCAGCCTGGGAAGGGTATAGGCACCAGGACCTGGAAAGGGAATGGGAAGAGAGCATAGGTTAGTCCTGTGGGAAAGGGAGCAATGCCCAGGTGGGAGAGAATCAGTCTACCAAACCAGCTGTGAGGAGCAGGATGGCTATCCTGTCCCTCCTCCCAGTGACTCTGCCTTCTGCTGCATGTGGCATACATTGGCCATTCAAAGCCAGAGCTGCAGGTTCTTCTATGAGATGGGAGAAGCAGGTGCTCCTGGACAGCAAGAAGCTTGTCAAGAGCATGCTGCATCCTGTCACCTAGGCTTCTCGCTAGGCCTATTGAAGAAGCTGTGCAGCAGATGTTCTCTGGAGGACACATAGGCAGAGAGTCTGTTTCCCCAGGTTCCCATACCTGGTGTTTGGAGAGCATCACTGAGCTTGTGCCGGAAGACCATGGACTGTACCGGTGCATTAGAGTAGACATGTTTGTCAGCCTTTTCTGTGGAATAGTCACCTGAGAGGAAAAGCCGAGAAAAGCAGTGAAGCTGGATATCTAACTGCACGCCAAAGAGGAGAGGTCAGGAGGAGGTGCTCAGCCTTGTTTGTTTTCTGTCTGGAACCCTCTGAAGCCCATTCAGAGATGGTTTTGTGGCACAGGACAACAGTAAGGCCTGGAAGAAGGGCTGCAGAAATGGTACTCACTAGGTCCAGGGGTGACCTCAGACTTGGTTTTGGGACGTCCGATCAGGTGTGCTGATGGAGGCACATATTTCCCAATCTTGGTGATGGAGGGATGGATGAAGTATCGAGGACCTGGAGAGCAGCTTTCTGCATCTAGACCTTTGGCCCCTCTAAATGTGTATGCAGGGGCTCTGTCTCTGGTGGGATCGTGAGACGTGTGACCTGGGAAAAAAAGCCTGTGAAAGGACATCTGCCCACAACTGTACAGTGAAAAGTAGTTTCTAAGTGGAAGCAGCAGATGTGCCGTGCCTCCCCCACACCTCCCCATGATTGTTGGTTTACCTGTTGTCCCAGGGATCCAGTATTTAGGTCCTGGAGTGTTGAACTCTGCCAGAATGGGGCCACGTCGGGGATGAGGCCTCCAGGTGCCCACCCATGGTCCCTCCATGTTGGTGGCTACAAAAACTATGGGAAAAACAGGAGAGCTACCAAGGGGCTTCCCTGACAGAGCCCTGGTGTGGAGCTTTCCTCTAGCCCAGACGGGCAAAAAAGTGAAACTAACATCACAGAAAAACGTAAAGAAGTAGAGAAGTAGGAAAGTCAAGTAGCAAATAAAAGAGGAGGAGGGATGGGGGGAGCAGCAAGTTTGTAGCAGAAATGCAGAAAAACCTCCCTGCTGTGCCCACAGGCAGTTTTTGCTGGCCTGGCACACAGCAGCCTAGGACCACGGTGTTTGCACAGCAGCGAGATAATCTCAGACACGTGTGCTTGCAAACTTGCTTGCCTGGAGTTTGGCACTGGCTAGGTGGGATGCCCAGATATAACCAGCAAGGGACGCCAGGTCCTCGGTGTCCTCATAATCCATTGGTAGGTGGATCCATCATCGGTCATGTGCATCACTAGGTGACATCACAAAAGGCCACCCTCACCCAATGAGGGCCCTCATGGGGTGAGGCCCATTGTGATGCTGAGGACGGCTGTTCAGCTGTTTGTGCAGCAGCCATATTGCCTGCACTGTGGCTGGGCATGGGGCTGCCATGGAACTGGCTGAGTGCAGCATGGGGCAACCCCACATTCTCCACACAGAGACCTGCTTGTGTCCCCATGCACAGATACCCAGTACAGCCCTTTCTAGTCAGGTGGTGCCTAAGGACAGGGATTTGGTCACTGAGCTGAGTCTGGAATGAACTGCTGACCATGAAGCTGGGAGCGGCTCCTGCCTCAAAGAGTCTGTGAGAACTGCCTGCTCCAATTCCCACCCCTTTCCCTAGTAATCAGAGGAGAATTGTTTTGGCATCACCACTTAGCCAGAAAGGAGGAACAGCCTCCCCAAGGACTGGAAGAGTTAAGCAGTCTTTATCTCAAACTTTGCACTTTTTCTGTTTTTGCCTTTTTATTCATTCCTCCATCCAGGTCTGGAGGGAGAGGAGTGAGCAAACTGCTAATGTGGCTTAGCTGCTGGTGAGGCTCAACCCCCGAGCTTCTACCCATCTTTAAGCAACAATGTAAGAATGGCCTTCCTCTGTGGTGAATAAATGTTGTGAGTTAGCGGTAACAACCACTTGCTGTGCCTGCAGTCATTTACAATGGGAGATCCCCTGAACTGAGCTGGGAAGCTGATAGTGTCCAATTCCCAGATTGTCCTTTGTATCTTTTGATGTTTTTCCAAGGCATCTGTGCCACAATCTTACCATTAGAGGGGCAGGAGAGAGCAAAGCTTTCATCTCAGTTGCTCTGGCTTTTCCATTTGAAGGACCCTAGTGTCTGCATCACTCCTGAGATGCTCCTGATCTCTTTGGGCAGCTTTGTCCCCCTCTCTGCCCACTTCTTCAGGTTGTTTGGGGAGTTCATGGTCACCAGGTTTTTCAGTATTGATGCTCCAGAGACAGATGCAGTGACCTGGAAGGGCTCGATAGGGATAAGTTTCATTATTCTGAATTTGTCAGTTGCGTGCAAGTGTTTACATCTGCAGTGTGAGTGCCCCGCCCCCCAGGTTTTCATGCTCCCAGGTTTCATGCCTCTTTGCTAATGACCCCCATCGTTTACCCACACTTTGTTTAGCAACCCTCTAAGGTTTTCAGTCCCCAAGTTTTTATGGTTTGAGACAGCTTCTCTTTCATTGCTGTCTTATCCTGACTCTCATCTCTGTGTGAGACAGGCCAGTGACTTCATTCAGTGCACAAACCCCCCTGCTGTGCTGCCTGTCCCTCCCCCCATAGGTACCATTCAATCCCAGTTAAGAAATGGGGCAACACGGGGTGTCAGCACACACTGAGGGCATCAGTGGAGTGGGGGGCAATAGGAGTGTTACCAGGGTTGGCAGGGATGGGGGCTGATGACACAGAGTGACCCTGTGTGGGGACAGGGGTTGTACCTGCAAACTGCCATGGGTTGTCCTTCAGTTTTGCTGTGTGTGGGAAGACACCCGGAGTGTCCCCATGTATGTGCAGGGATGATGCACAAGATATGGGTCTGTACCCAGATATGTAACAGAGCCTAAGATGTGTCCCCCCTCCAGAGGTGTCTACATGCAGCTCTGCCTCGTTGCCCAAATGCCCCACGTTTTTGTGGCCCCCCACTATGCAATGCCATGTCCTGTACATCACCTCATGCCCCTGTATGTCCCTGTGTCCCACCCACCCTCACAGATGAGCTCGATGATGCTGTGCTCCATGGGGCTGCAGCTGAGGCAGCCCTATGTCCTCTGGCAGTGGGCAGCGCTGCTGGCCACCTCATTCAGCAGACCCCGCACCACTTGCTTGTCAGTGGCGAAGCACCACAGGGAGAGCTGCAGGTAACAGCAATCTGCTTGCAGCTGCCACAGGCATGAGTGTCCCAATGACCACAGTCACATATACTCCAGCAAAGTCTTTATCTGGGTCTGGATGATCCCTGTCAGCACTGACACCTAGGACATGGGCACAGCAGGAACTTGTCGCACAAGGGGACAGGGATGACCCCAGGGCAAGAAGGTCCTGAGTCACATCCGTGAAGGAACACTGGGGACTCCCCTCTCCAGGCCATCAGCTCCTGGGATACTCTGATCCTGGTCATCAGTCCTCAGTGTTCTCCCAAGTTTGAGACATGCATGCAGGGACACTGGGGACATGTGGCGTGGGGAAATGGGGGGTGCTTCAGCTCAATTCCTCCAGTTTAGGGAGGCCCCAAGTCCCATCAGTATGAGCACATCAGGTACACTCAGTGGGTAAAGCAGATATCTTGAAACTCCTCAGTAGGTTCAAGAATTACCCCTTGACTATAAACACACAAGGAGAGAACCATAGAACATAAGCTTCTAAAAGCTCTCAGTAGTGATTAGTATCATCCCCCTCATTCTTCGAATGTTCAGCACAAGGGATAGTTCTTGCGGTTTTTATCAATATGCTCCAGGGTAAATGCCCCTGTCCCTAGGATGCTTTCGTTGTCATTAGGCTCCAGATTTAACACCCATGACCCACTGGAAAGTTGTCTTCTGCAGCTCCTATCAGTAGGTTTTAGAGTTAACATACCATGGTCACCATCACCCAAGAAGGCTGTTTACTGGAATGGCTATTATTAAGTCTCCAGAGTGAAAACAATCCCCTAGAAGGCTATTTCCCAGAGCTGCCATCAGTAGGTAGCATCACCTAAATACAGTTTAATTGATAGTTTTGCACTGATACAGGACATAGAGGAAAGCAATAGGACAAAAAAAAGGATGTGGAAGATTCAGGTGAATGCCACCAAGAATACAAGAACTGGTTAAGCCTCATCAACTAATGCTGGCATTTCTAATGTAATCCAACAAGAAACAAGATTAGCCAGCTGCACTGGTGATGTATTAACTCTGGCCAGCCTCCTCAATGTCTGCTTTACCCACTGTAAGAGAGCAAGCTAACTTACCATTATATACAATTTTGTTAGTGTACTGAAGATTGAAAGTGTTATGAAAACTGCTGATTATACTGTATTTGAGTACTTGACCAGTGGGAGAAAATGCTATCTGTCTGTGCCTCTGAAGTTTAAGTGCCCTTCATTATACAAAACAGCCTGTCTTAAAGGACTCTTTTCTAAATTGGTTTGCCACTCCATTGTTTTGCATCACCCACATCATCTCCATTCAAATCACAATTTGGATGTTTCAGAATGTATTTCCTAACCAGTGTTATATTAAATCAACTTCTTGTAATAAACAAGTTCTGTTAACAACAAAAACATATACTGTAGCTAGAGGCTGAAAAGTCAGACATCCTACAGTAAAGAAAGGAAAATCTGTAGGCGGAAAAAGCCTGCTAGATTTTTTAGTTGCTTTCATTATTGTGTCTAATCACAAACACTTAAAAATATAAATTCCTCCAAATTTTGCTAAAAAATAGAAGGTTTTGAATGAAAGATAGAAGTTTATTCATATAATCTGTGAATAGGAACAGGCAATGACTTGCAAAACAGGATAATTTACTACTACTGAAACTGGCAGCGGGTGTAACATACTTGGCACATTTTTAATATCCTTAGCATATTTTATTTCAAACTTGTTAAAAGGATATGCTGTAATTGATCTTTTTTTAGTGACAGTATAGAAGAATATTGCCAGAAGTTGTAGCCTTATCAACACAAAAGGACGGCAGAATTAAAAGATGCCTATTAAAACTGATTAAACTCTTCAGTAGTAATTACTATGTATGATCTATTATTCAAAAATAACTGGATACATATTTTTCACTGCATGTTATAAGATTTCACTGCATGCTATAAGATTTTTATACAGTGCATTTTAGTAAATAACATTATTGTCTGAATTAAAACAAAAATTTTAGAATAAATTGTACCTGTATGTTCCAGAGATAATTTGGGGGATGTGAAGAATCCCTGCTTTATGGAGAGCTCCGAGGACAATACTCACTGGTGCAGTCAAACCTCAAATTATATGAGATCTAGTGTATGTCACACTAGACACCTTTTTTGATAAATAAGAGGAAAAAATTGTTAAAAATATCAGCAATTAAGTTTGATCTGGTTTAAACTTTTGGTTTTAAAACAGATGTAGGCTTAAATACCTACAAATTTGAAGGCTTTTATATCTGTGCATTCACAGATGGTATTGAAAATCAAAAATCAACTCCATTCCTTAAACCACCCTTCTAGGGATACCCTAATGAATGGACTAGTGTATGTGTTGAAGTAACACTTTTTTTTCCATAGATTCTTTATGTATAATATTGATTATTCTCTACTGCAAAGAACTGGGCAAGACTGAACTCACATGATCAACATTCATCTGCTACACCGCCAGTTTGTAGGAAGCAAACACTCAGTGGAAGTTCATTACTATTATGTAAACAGACAAATGAAACTATTACCTGAATTTCAAATGGGAGTTCTACTTATCACCCATGCTGGAAGGTGAGTGGCAGTGAAACCATATAAAGACATGTCCTTTTTCTTACTCATGCAAAATGTATGAGTTATTACTCATACATTATTGTATATGATGAAGGAAATATTTAGCATAGTGGTTTCTGCTTCAATAGAACAGAAAATGCCTATCCTACACAATGAGTTCTTATGGGCAGTTAAGGACTTCTGGAGGCACAGATATTTGGAAAAACAACCAAAAATTTGCTTTCTTTAGATAAATACTTACTATTTGCCTCCTTCCTACAAACTGGCAGTGGAGCAGATGAACGAACAAGCAAAACCAAAATTTTATGGAAAAGTCAATTTATGCCAGCACCTCAATTGCTGGCAGATTCAATCTCTTATACACTACTGCTAACTATACTGCTCCTTTCACTGCTCGTGCACTGTGTAAGCACTCAAAGGAAGGTATAAGAGGTAATATACAACAGAGTATTAGATTTGATATTCAAGGCTTTGGAAAAATTATTCCTGTTTGGCAGTCAGCAAGAAGGGAGATAATGAGAGGGTGGCTAA